ATAAGTTAAAAATGTCAATAACTAGTGAGAATGCCCTTTTTTATAAAGTTTAAAAACCTATATCTAAAACTATACCAAAAATATGTAGGTACCTAAATACGATTAAATAATAAATAAAATAAACAAATATGTTCGGACATTACCAAACAGCACCATCTAGTTCCATGGTAAGCTACGAGGCTTGTGTTATGTATTCTAGGTAGTTGCTACACTATACATATATAACTTTAAATACATAATGATATATGTATCAAAATATAATATTATAAATATAATATATATAATATTATAAATATAAACACCCATGACTGAAGTACAAACATTCATCTCATCACACAAATTATGTGGCCCCAGCAGGACTTGAACCCGCGATCGCTGGCACAGCAAGTAGTGTCACTACAAACTGAGCCAAACATGTTGTCGTCGTTTAAATTAATTTAAAATTTTGTTAAAATAATATTTAATAAAGTATAAACACCGATTTACATAATTTCTAATTAAATTACCCATTGATGTTCGGGGTGGCGATAAGCCGAATAAAAATTGACACCGTGGCTATTTTATAGCATCTTATAACCATAAAATTTAAATTTTTCGCAGTTATTTTAAAATTTAATAGCAAATAGCAGATATTAAGTGTTGTTTTGAATAATAATCGAATTCTTATTATATCTTATAGTAGCTGCTGTTCAGTATTAAATTCGAATGAGACTACATTTATGAGATTTGTCTGAATAATATTTAAATCAATAAACCAAAATACTTCACGAATTAGATTAAGTAATTAATTATAGTAAAAAATTTACGTTATTAACATTGGTAGACTGCTTCGCTAGAAAATGCCGATATAAAATAAAGATAACACTCAAACGTCGAAACATCAGGTAATGATTGTATGTTCCAATGAGTTTATATATATAAGATCATTGGTATGTTCTCAAATGTGATTGTTGCAATAAGATATTTACTTTCAAACTATTTTATTGGCTATGGGCTTGTTTCATTTTCACGCAAAAGTACGGACCAGATTTTGATGACACTTTACATTAATATAGCTTATGCATCATAGTAAGATATTCATATCCACACTAATATTATAAATGTGAAAGTGTTTTTGTTTGTTTGTCTGTCCTTCTTTAACGTCGAAATAGAATGACGGATTGACGTGATTTTTTGTGTGGAGATAGTTGGAGAGCCTTTTACCGCGAGAGATTTTCTCATTTCCACGAAAAAACACGATATAATACAATCTATAAACTATTTATGATCAGGATTACTTGAAACTCGGTATTAATGCTCTTCAACACAATTAAATAAATACCTACGTGTTTTAGTATTATTCGGAATTCATCCCATACGGGGGTAAAACGGGCGATGAAAGTTTGTATGAAACCTTTTTAGAGTTCTTTTGTTTTAGCGCGAGCGAAGCCGCGAATTTTGCTAGTAGGCTATAATTTATAAAGATATAGTAATACACTAGCGATTCACCCTCGCTCCGCTCGAGTTCGTCCTTAAAATTACTTTTTAAAGTTTAGTATAGATTTCTCAGAGATGAAATATTTTCCCGCAGTATCTTATATGTTGACCCGGACAACCAGCTATACCAAATTTCATCAAAATCCCTCCAATGATTTTTCCGTGATGCGGTTACAGGCAGACAGACAGACAAAAATTCTAAAAACTATAGATTCGACCTCTGTATCAATAAATTGGTTTTCCAAAAAAATATTTAATATACAGATTCGGCTTAGTTATATTTTTACTAGTATGTACTATACATAAGTGAACTATTTGGGCGGTACCACGGTAAAACGTCAACATGTATGTAAGTATAAACTTATGTTACTATAATAGCAACAGTTCATCCTAAATATTTCTAGTTAAACCTATGATTTGTAAAATCCCAATGGCAAAAGTCCAAATTATTATATGTTTCGCACTTTCTCTAGTATTTTCTTAATAAATCTAAACCTGTTTTTGATCACGGAAAGTGAAAATCTAGGTGTTCCTAGATTTTTCTTGATGTACATTGTACTTGTATCTTCGAAATGTAGCTTCGAAAATCGAAGTCCGTATTTATTTTATAAGTTTTGTATTTCAAAGTTCTGTGAAGTTTAAATAAGCTTTAAATGTTTTTTATTTGTATTTTTTACTTTTGAATTTGATAAGCGTTATTGAAAAAAAGTACTATTTGTCTTCTTTATTTTCAACCGACTTCCTCAAAAAGGAGGAGGTTCTCAATTCGGCTGTATTTTTTTTATCTTTGTTACCTCAGAACTCCGTCATTTATTAACCGATTTGGACAATTTTTGTTTTGTTTGAAAATTACAGATTGGTCCCATTTAAATTAAAAAAAAACAACCCCTAAGGGTGGAAAAATAGCTAATGATGAATTTAACCTACTTCTAATTGTCATATTGACTTGAAACTTTGCAAGTGTTTCTATTTCCGTTGATAGTGCAGTGGTTCGGTATTGTTGACCTGATTTGATGGTAAGGCCAGAAGGTGGATAGGTGGAACTCTTCAACGGCTAATAGTAGATACTTTGAGTTTGGGTTTATTTTGTTTGATTTGACAAGCCTAACACGTGTTTTATTAATTAAGAATTCTTATTCCACTACTACGGTCTACACTAAAAAGGGAAAAATAAAAACTTTTTAACAAAAAAATAAAACCGACTTCAAACAAAAGCACTAAAAAGTAAAAAATAACTGATTGGTAGTTTTCATTTTGAAAATATTTGATTAGGTATGTATAGTAAATGAAAACTACCAATCAGTTATTTTTTACTTTTTAGTTCTTTTGTTTGAATTCGGTTTATATTTTTGTTAAAAAGTTTTTATTGACATTGTTATTAGTTGCGATCAGCTGTGATAGTATATAGACGATTAATTTTTATTGAAGAAAACTTCAAAGCCAACCTTTTAAATATACCTAATCGCGCTTAAAAAAACAAAGACAACAGAAGACTTTGAGATAGGTTGGATATAAGTATTTAGGTATAATTTTATACGTAGGTATAGTACAAATATTTCATTATCACGTTTAAGATGAATGTTATCTCCGAGAGTGTTAAAGCAAATATTAATATATTCACAAGGCTTATTATTATTATGAAATATTTTAAAAGGATATTTTTGTGTTTTATTAATATTTCAGTTTTAGTTTTAATACAGTTAATAAAGAGTACGGAACTTTAAATAGTGTCATAAATAATGAAAATTTTATATATTTGTCTTTATAATTATGTTTTTTTAATCAAAATATAAATATTAAAAACATTACTAACGTTTATTTAATTAAAAGATAAACAATAATTTCGTTTATTTAATTGAAAAAAATATAAACAACAACAATAAAAAATATAAACTCAATATTAAGGTATCGACTTAATTTCTTTGCAATAAAAATAAAATGCTAGGAACTCCGTGTGTTAAATTATGACTATTTTATTTCTTTTATACAAGGTATATTAAATTTACTTTTATTTTCATTTAAAAAAGTTAGTCTAAAACAATTACATAAAAAAAATCTTGTAATGAATAGCCATCTGCTCTATTACACATTGCATATTTTATTGACACTCCTTTTAACCTACTTCCAAAAAGGATGAGTTTTTTAATTTGTCGGAATCTCTTTTTTTATGTATGTTCATCGACTACTCGAAGGCGCCTGAACCGATTTGGAAAATTCTTTTTTTTTGTTTCAAAGGGTACATATAGTACTTTCCAGGTGGACCCATTTAAAATTTTCCGAAATCGGTCGACCGGTTTTCAATAAATTAGTTTTAAATAATTAATCTAATATGTTATAATTAACAAACTTTCTTTTTACAAATTACCTGATCATTATGTCAACACTAAAAATGGAAAAAAAACGACTTCCAGAATTCTTCGAAAATGTCTGATTAAGTATCTATTCTAAATGAAAACCCCCATTTACTTATTTTTTACTTTTTAGTGTCTGGAAGTCAAGTTTTTTCAAGTTTTTATTAGAACCCATATAACTATATTCCAACAGGATTTTTGAGTGTCAATAGTTAAAAATTCTTATTAGTCTTTCAAGTTCTCATAGGAATAATAAATGCAGTGGAAATATTGACCCTTTGTACCACTTTCACAAATAAGAACAATATATTAATATACAGTTTTTTAATATTTACAATATTATAATATGATGCAGACGAAATAATATTCTTATGCAAATATTCCTTTTGAAAGTCGATTTTAACGCCATCTATCCACAAGTAGCTAGTTCTATAATTTACCATTAGATGGCGTCTATGAAACTGGCTAACAAATTATTGGAAATAAAAAAATGAGTAAATATTAGAAATATTAACATTATTATCCTTTAACTTATTATATTTTTAAAGACAATCTTTAAGAGTTAGCATGTGTGACTGATACTATGTACAGTACATAATTAGAGATAACTTTTATTCTGCCACTAGGTACGTTTTAAATAAATATAAATAGTTATTATCCAGCGTTAGCCATATAAATTTTTATTTTATTTTTTTAATTTTTCCATATAATTTATTAAAATCTTCCGTGGACCTTAAGGAACATACGAAAAAAATATTAGCCAAATTGGTCCAGCCAGTCCTGAGTTATGCGCTTGCCAACATTCATTTTTATTTATATAGATTATTCTGCCATTGTTAATAAATGTAAAACTTTAATTATATAAGTTCATTTATAGAATCAATCAATCATGAGTTGTATACTTTGTTATAATAAAAGAAAATTGTAACCTAATTTCTTTATAAGAAAATACGAAAGAGGCCTATTACGTGAACCAATTCGACGACAGAAGAAAAAGTTACAGACAAATTCCAAACATGAAATCAGATGAAAAGTGCTGTCAGTCGTTAAAATTAGATTCATTGATCGCATTGAAAGTATAACAAAAATTCGGAACTAAAATGACAAATCTATTGTGTATATTATAGGGGTAAAATTTATGGTGTTCGAGCATTTTCAAAAATTGCCATGGTAATGTGGAGGTACTGCTTGGTACTAACGGTACTTCTGCTACTTCCTTTAGAAATTGGATCCAAATTAGAAGATGATGAACAGGAAGAGTAAGTACTACTTAGCTAGCTAGCTCTTTTTATTACGTTTTTTTTTAAATTTTTTTTATGGTTTTGCGTTACGATGAAAAAGCATATGAGATAAAAATTACACAAATTACATATTCTTATACTAAATCATAGAGATAAATTAAATACTTTTATATTTATACATATTTATAAGTTATAAGCCATTTACTATATAATTTATCTATGTCAAAAATAGATAGAAATATTTGGAATTTTGAGAAATAGTAAAACTTTGGTTATGTCTGGAATTATATTAAATGGTTTTTTGTTAGTTATTAGAAACGTTTTTCCGTTTTTTCCTTGTGGAAACTTCTGTTAAAACTGTTGCAAATAAGGATAAAGAATAAAGGTATTATTTAAAATTAATCTATAGTAGACAAACTGATAAAATAAACACCCTTTTAAGTGGAAGAGCAGAGGAAGAAGATAATGAAGAGGAAAATGACGATGAAGAAGATGAAGAAGAAAATGCACCAAGTAAAGTTGAGAGCATAGGCCGAAGAGCACTACTCATGCAGACGACGCTGGACCCTCCAGTTACTCGTACAAGAACCACTAAGAAGAGACTACTTGAATGTTATGTGTGTGCTCATAAGCCTGATTCAATGCTAAGAGCTTGCTTGGACCCTACAAAATATAGGTATAAATTGTTATCGTACTTATTTAAAAGCTTTTATTTTAAATTATATGAGGCTGTTGTTATATATCAGAAAGTTATTTTAATTTTAACCCAATCAGCTAAAAAGCTGAAAATAGGGAACTATAGCTATAGTCATTTTACTCAGTCATATTTGACTTAGTAAGGTTTTCCGTTTTCTTTAGTGAATCCGCGGTATAAACTAAACTTTTTTTATATTATACTCTCCCAGTTAATAAAATTGGTTTGAGCGATATAGTATAGTATCAGTTGACCACAAGTTACAGTACTTACTACGGTTGCCTATAATATCTTTATATTTTATAATTTACTTATTTATAGTCTTTGATTACTTTTTACTAAAAAGGTACATATTAATATTACTTAAAAGTCGAAATTATTATTAATTATAATTACCGTTTTTAAATGTACATAGCCCGCAGCTCTGAAATGTAACATATTCATCAACCCCGACCATCTTGGACCGATTTTCATCAAACATAGCTAAGAACACTCCCGACTAATTCACCTTTCAAACAAAAAAAAAACAATCAAAATCGGTTCATCCGTTCGGGAGCTACGATGCCACAGACAGACACATACACACAGACACGTGAAACATATAACACCCCGTAGTTTTTGTGTCGGGGGTTAAAAAAAGAATCATGAAAATCAATTCACAGCTTCATACAGTTAGATGTAACAGATCATTTGTTATTATTATAATCACCTGGTTTGCAATCAAATAAACATAATATAAAATCAACCATGTTATGTTACAGAGTTCATACAATGACATGTCACAGTGTAGATGATAAATGCTTTACGTCGGTGATCTCGAAAGGCAGTTTATTAGAGGCGGTGGTGCGAGGATGCCGATCTGGTTGCATCGGCTCACCGGATATCACGTGTTGTGATGTATGATTGTACTTATTTAATTAACATACTTATATTAGTTTGACTAGTAACTTGTAAATATGTAATCAAATGCTGGAAGTCAATTTTAACCTATTTCTAATTCGTAATAATCGATTTAATACTTAGTGTTGTAATACTATAAAATTTTGATGCCATTAGATCAACTAGAGTCTGATGAAGGAGTCAGGAAGTGGATAGTGGAACTATTCAGTAGCTATTAGTAAAATCTTCAAATTTAGGCTCGCTTTGGTATTTGCTTGGAAACTATATTTGAAGTTAATGTTTATTCATAAATTTTGAGTGTAAATATTAGTTTAAGGATAAATCTATGCTAATATAAATGTAAAATCTACCTCAATTTGACTATCTGTTTGATTTTTACAGTTACATGGCTGAACTTATTTATAAAGATAAATATTATCTTATTTATAAAGTAAATACATATATTAGTTCGGGATATGGTCATTGGTCATGTCCTCAGCGATATTAGTCTCGGCGGTTAATCTTGCTGGAACTAGCCATGTGCACCCAGAGCACAATTGCACTATTTGCTTCCATTCCTTTCATTCTAAAACTTTGATAAGATGACATGATCTGATCTGATGAAAGATTAGGCGCAGGACCGACTGCTATACGTGCTCTCCGAGGCACGGGGATGAAAGACTGCCAACTTCCCAACTCTGGGCTTTTACAAGAAATTTTTTAATATAAAATCTGTATAACTATATTAAGACTAGTAAATTAATAACTGCTTTTTCAGTTAAATCGGTGCAATAACCAAGCGTTTACAATGCCCAGCATGGTTGAACCTCGGGCCCTTATGCAATCAAGCAAAGCAATCAGGACATTCCCCTCATCGGTTCTTTTCTTCGTCACCATCTTATTGGTTCTACAGACCGTCGTTAAAGTTACTTTTGTATAAAACAAATGCTTTATAAATATATATTGTAACGTATATAAAAATTACAAGTGACTTTTTTTGTGAGATTTGTAGTGAGGGTGTATGAGAGTTTTTCTTTGTAAATGTATTGTTTGTAATAAATGGTGTAATTTGTAGCTGTTGTTTGTTTTTTTATGATATAATTTAAGAAACTTTCCATAACTAGATGAAGAAATTTAAATAATTATGATCTGATTTTTATAAAAATGAAGTACTTATCATACAACTGTCATTTTTAATTTGTTAGTGTTATGCTTTATCTTTTAAAATATCCGATGATAGGAAACCCGCGTTAAACTAATATGTGTTTAATAATCTATACATCTATACATATAATAAAATTGTAACTGAGTCGAATCTGTACATAAAATATTTTTTGGAAAATCTAATTGAAATTGACATTATTATCGATACAGAGTCCGAATCTATAGTTTTTAGAATTTTTGTCTGTCTGTCTGGGAATGCATTACGAGAAAACCATAAGACAGATTTTGATGAAATTTGGTATGATGATAGCTGGTTATCCGGGTCAACTTATAGAATACTTACTGTGGGAAAATATCTCATCACTGAGATAAACATACTAACCGTTGAAACGTATCGAGGGACGAACCGAGCGGAGCGAGGGTGAGTCGCTAGTATGTAGTATAATGTAAAACCATAGCTTTGTATTATAATAAACTATGGTTTTATTTTATATCCTGATTGAAGCAATTTTTTTTAAATCTCCAGTGTTGTCAATGTATCTAATATAAAATATGTTTTGTATTAGATGTCCTTAAATATTGTTATAGTAATATTTAACATAATCCTTAAATAAAATATCTTTAAATTTTATTATAATAAATGCTTATTATTATAATAAGCATTTTATCGAATACCAACAGTGTCTTTATTTCTTGTTCGTAAAATATAAAAATATTGATATATTTTTTGTAATAGTATTTCCTTAATACCCAACATTATTAAATAAAGCAATTTACTCATTGATTTATTAAAAACCTAAATCTACAGAAACCTTAGAAAATAATCCTTCGCAAGAACTTTTTTCATGGAATGCCAAAGCGTTCAAGGACTTAAGATGATTGAAAGGGACAAGGGAAGGGTCACTCGACCCGGTCAAGTCTTCCGCCCAATTGATCCCACTTCCGGTGTGTGGAATGAATTATTCAGAGTATGAGGGTAATATTTGCTTAGTAGATACTACTTTTTAAGGAGGTACTTTTGAGTGATTCGTTTTTAAGCGTTTCTATAAAGAAAATATGTGATAGTTGGCTCCATTATAATATGTTGAAAATATTTCTATTTTATTTCAACTACTATCAATGGAATTTTGACTAATTTGTGTTAAAGAGCTTTTAGGAATATGGTTAAAATATTAGATTGATAATATAATATTTTTGAAACATTTTGTACCGTTATTTTAGTATATCGATAGTCAAATTAAGAAAAGTTTTATTGTTTTTGTTAAAGTACCTACTTTATTTGTGAAAATTATAAAAAAAGTGTCCAAAATTTCAAAAGAAATGTCCGTATTACATAAAATAGGTTTATGTGAACTATTGTAAACTTACTGAAACTAGTTATCTGCACAGGATGGTGCTGGTTGTATTATAATATTATATGAACGAATATGTATAATGTATATGTGCAAAATTTCATTTCTTTCACTGTAATAATTTTTTCTTGGAAAGAAATCCTAAACGATTGTAGGAAAATTAGGTACAGCTCTTATGGCTTCATGTGTTTGTTCTCGTAGGCTTCCAATTTCCCAACTCTAAGCTTTTACTAAGAAATTGTTGACAGTAAAACTCAGTAATAAGTTTGTGCCCGAGACTTGAACCCAGGTTCTCAATATCTGTAGCCGCACGTACTAGCCAATAAAGTACAAATAATATTATGTGTAATGTGTAGTAGGTATATTCAGTTACTTTCAGCAATAAAGTACAAACTCAATAAGATGTGTAAATATTTTCGAATAAAAATTCCAAGTTACCCAAATGACCAACCCCTTATCACTTCCATCTAACAAACCCCATATCATGCGTGATATTCACTCGTCGGAAATTCCAATAAATATCGTTTCCTCCCTCGCACTCAATTTAGGGTGTCCAGTTAAGAAGTCAGTTTACTCGTCCTAACATATGGATCAAATCTACTGAAAGGGCATGTTTTTACGAAGGAACTTGTTATTTTATATTTTATTTTATTCACTAGTGCTAAAGTCTCTTTTTGTTTGATGATAATTGTCAAAGAAAATTCCTGGCATTCAGCCGGACTTATAGTTTTATTGGGCAACAGGGGCTTTCGTGTTAACCGTCGTGTGATTTTCGGACAAACAAGGGTGTCGAGATTTTTAAGGTTTTCACACGCTCTTGTTATATTTGAGAAAAATATTTTTGCAACTTAAATTTATTGATTTTAACACATTTTTTATTATTTTCGAATTTCATTATTGTGTTTGTTCATAAAAATATGCGAGACGAATAAAGTTCTAAGCAAATTATTAAATAATAATTATTTAAACATAAACAGTTTCAATCTTAATAACTGCTTCAGTTAGACAACTGATATTACTTTGTATCATACACATACCTACATAGGTATATGAACGAATTATTTATATTTTTAGTCACGTCCATATTTTGGCAAACAAGTAATTTTTAACGCACGTGCCGATACAATAAAACATTTAAATTTCTTAAAATATTTGTATCCGAATTATTTTTATGTTGTATTCGCACCTGGCATAAGTATAAAGCTTCGATCGATCATGTCTTTTAGCACGCATCGTCGGACCGAGGATTTGTAAATGATGCTTACGAATGTGGTTATCGATATTGATGTATTTATCGATTTATTTTGTTTAATATGTGTACTATCTTGTAAGGTTTTTGCGTCGTTTATTTTAAATATTAATGTAATTTATTTTTTAAAGTTAAGAAATTATTGGGATATGGGTAGTTATATAGTTCTTTTATTATAAGAAAATTGAAGATAAGTTACAAAAAATGTTATACAGACATTACAAAATATTAAGATTCTATTTAAATAATAATTTTAATACAATAATAACATTATTTACATACTGTGTCTTATAACCATTACGAATATAATCTGAAAAGTGCAACATTATCGATATCATAAAACCGCTCATGCCTAGCAAATCATGACAAGTTTAATGCGCATTATTGACCCAATGATCAATGATCTACGGCTATTTAGATCAATAAAATTATGCTAGATCATTGCAGCATTATATTCAGTTGTATTGACCGTTTTACTTTATCGGATAATATTGCATAATATCATTAGACCTTGTTGCGGTGATGTGCTATGTCATTGCGTAGACGGTTATGTTAAAAATTCAGAAGCTTTATTCATAGAAAAAAAAAGAGATTTGACGTTATTTGCAATTGTTTGTTCCATCATATGCATAGCATAGCTTGCAGATCGGTTGTAATACATCTTTTATAAGGGTTTTCGTATCCTTTATAAGAAACTAGAGACTTAACTTGGTTTACTCGGGATGCTTTTCGTGTTTATAATATTACTAGCAAAACCCGCGGCTTCGCTCGTGCTAAAAGTACAAAAAAACATGTTTCATACAAACTTTCTGCCCCTATTTTATCTTCTTATGGGATGAATTTCGAAAAGTGCTAAAACACGTATTTATTTAATTCTATTGATGAGCATTAATACTAAGTTTCAAGTAATTCAGGTCATAAATAATTTTTTGGGTTGTATTTAACGTGTTTTTTCGTGAGAATGAGATAATCTCCCGCGGTAAAAAGTAGCCTATATCACGCTCCAGCCCTCCAACTATCTCCACACAAAAAATTACGCCAATCCGCCAAGCCGTTTCGACGTGAAAGAAAGACAAATAGACAAACAAACACACTTTCATATTTATTCTATTAGTATGGATAAGTAAATAAGTATGGATATACCAATAGAGTCACTATTGGCAAATTTTAACACTAACAGTAGCCTATGTGTTACTTCAGGTCATAAAAGTCTATCTATGTAGGTACGAAATTTCATCCAAATACCTACGTCCTTATAAAATCTGTCGCATTTGTAATAGTAGTGTGACTCAACTTATTGAAAAAAAAATTAACTACAAAACTAGCATGTAATTTTAAACATATTTGTAATGTAAGTACCAATAGATATGCAGATTTTGGAAGCTATATTATTTTTTTCTTATGTTATTTGAACGTGATGAAGTATGAAAATAAAATATTACTTACTATTAAGTATTTGTATTTTAAGTATGTTGACACGATTCAGAAACAAAATAGTAGCTGTTATTGTGCAACGATTTTGAAATTACTTTAAACGTATGACAAATTATATTTTTAAATTATCTTAAAGTGTCGATTTTAAGATGTAATAATAATATAATCCCTTTTTAAATCATGAGAGTCGTTTAATTCGTACGATTGCTTTTATTTATTACAAACATTTAGATAAAGATAAACTGTCTAAGATTAACGTTTTATTGAAAAGCATAAAATGTCGTTTATAGCTTTGGTTGTCCGATTTCGATTTACTATTTTACAGTTTCACTAGAATGACAGCTTTGTCAACTATTATACGTTTTATGATTTAACTAGCATTGCCCGCGGCTTCGCCCGTCTTCAGATGACCAAAAACCAAATTCTTAGGTTTTCCATATTATTATACTCTTACAATGCAGTTTTGTATTTTTTCTCAGAAATGAGATATTTTCCCGCAGTAAAAAGTATCCTATATGTTGACCCGGATAACCAGCTATCATCATACCAAATTTCATCAAAATCTGTCCTGTGGTTTTTTTGTGATGCGGTAATAGACAGACAGACAGACAAAATTTTTAAAAACTATTGATTCGGACTCTGTATCGATAATAATGTCATTTCAATTAGATTTCCCAAAAAATATTTATTGTTAGATTCGACTTAGTTACAATTTTATTATATGTATAGACTAGCGAC